AATTGCTTTGTATTTGTTCGTCGTTGCCTGCTGAACTGGGGGGTCCACCTCCATATCACCGTCGCCTGGCGGGGACGGGGGGGGACAGGACAGGACATCCGCATGAGGGGGTCAACGTCGACACGCCCGCTGAGCAGCCGTGGGGTACGACTTGCAACATCCGCTGCGAGTGAAATTTGCCGCAGACCCAGACTTCTCATTAGGCCGGCAGGGGGCGTGCCCCGATGCTCGAAGGAGCGAGCTCCGAGGAGGCCCCGTAAGAGAGGCTCGCTACCTTGCGAGCGCGAGTCCCTACGGGTCAGTCCGGGGGGAGCAGCTGCTGGCCCTCTCGAGTGCCCACTCCTTGGGGAACGCGCTGGGCGAGCAGGGCTCCCAAGCAGGGGGAGGGGGGAAGGGAGGGGGGAGGGAGGTGGGTCCGCATACCACCCAGGGGCCCGAGATTTCGCTTGCCAGCACGGGGGGGTCCCCGGGAGTCCCGACCCGTTCCCCGCAGCGCCAGGGGCTCCCTCCCGCGCCGTCTTCGCGGACGGCCTCCTATAGGGGGCGCGGCGGGGGCCGCCGGGGAGGCCGGCGGTCAGGCAGGACGAGCGCCGCCCCTCGGCTTCTTCGCTATACGTGGGATGTCCACGTGTGGCAGCGCTCTGGGGATACAGTCGGGGCCCCGGAGAAGGAACCCTTTTCGTTGGGGAGGGGCTCCGTGTTCCTTGATTGTTTCACTGCTTGCCTTTGGTTGGGATCCAACGTCTTGAAAAAGTCAGGACGGAGGTTTTGCCCCAATTTCGGCCTTCTCAGAGGCCCTTTGCCGGGCCCTGGGGCCGTCCAAAAACGACGCAGGGTGAAAAAACCGGTCCCGGGGAAGGGGTCGAGACTTCAGGGGACCGCGTGTTGCAAAGATCACGGCATCGGATCTCTGGGAATGTACTGACACCGCTGCTCCCCGGACCTCTCCGTGGGGTGCGTTCTGACCGGAGTTTCGGGGCGAATCCAGCGGTGGGGAACGAGGGCCTCCCAGGAGTCAGAGGAGCATGAAGTATTGATATTGATAGTTTTCCAGATTTCCAGGTTTTCCTGTTCTTCCGCGGGGGCTCCAGGGACGAATGGTCGAGCGCATTCCGTCGCGCAGGTTTTTGGCGTGATGTTCGCGGTGCGTTTTTCGCGCACCGGAGCGCCTTCGAAGATTCCAAGCTGCATGCTGTGTTGCTTCTGGGAGTCCGCGAGTCGCAGCTGCCGTGGCGCTGTTTTCGAGGTAGCCCCTTCGAGTGCTGTTCGCGGGTGCAACGCGCGGCGCGCGCTGCGCCCAATCGCGCGCGGCGCGGCGCGTGAATCAGCCGGCCGCGCCCGTCGGACCGTCCGGACATTATTTCTGGATTGTAGAATGTGTAAGAAAACGCTTCCGCTTTTTTCCGCGCGAGCGGTTCCGGATTTTTTCCAAAAGAAGCCCGGAAATTTTCAAAACAAACAGTGTTAAGGGGTGGAATGCGCCCGCCGCGCAGGACATCTGCAGAGTTCCGAAATCCGGAAGTTTTCAAAATGGATTCCGGAATTTTTCAAAATCGATCCCGGAAATTTTCTAAAACGATCCCGGAAAATTTCAAAAAGTAGGCCGGACATGTTCAAACATGTTCCCAGATTTGTTCAATTTTACCCCCGGGGAACTTTTCAGAGTCGAGCATGCTTTGCCTTGCCAGGTCTTTGGGAATCCGCCGAGGCGCGCGGTGCGCGGCGGCGGGCGATGGGACGGTGCGCCACTGTCCCCTCCGCGCTCGGCAACGAGAGGGGGGGGTCAGCAATTGCCAAATAGCCCTTTACGGGCGACCACTCGATTGCGAATGGCTAACTGACCAGCGGCGCCAACCAGAGTAGACAAACCTCGACGCCAGGTGTACCCCGCGCGAAGGCAATTAGAAATCCCGGAATTTCCGGAACGTATCAATAGCATGTTGTGTCAATAGGTTCTTCCTGTCCTAAGGAGGCCCCAGAAAAGGGGAACACGAGGCTATGGGTAGCGGTATGGGCACACCTCTTCTTCCTCGGAACCTCGGTTACCAGTCTCCGGTCGACCGATCGAGTGCGCCCCCCCGTGCGCATCCCGGAGGCTGCGCCGCGGCGGTGGTCGACGGCCGCGCCTACGTGCTCGGCGGCGTGGCGAAAGGCGGGCGCCGCGGGCGCGCGCTCGCGGGGCGGCGCGCCCGTTTCTCCCCCCGTGGGCTCTCCAGGGCGGGAGGGGCTCAGAGGCAACGTCAGGGGACGATGATCTAGCCCTCCCAGGTGGGGTCCGAGCAGACGGGGTCGGAGGATCGCGCCGCATCGCCGATGCATCGCATATTCGTCGCAAGTGCATTGTAGATGCATCGCCGATGGGGCTCGATGTGGGGCCCGATTTTCTCCACGCCGACGGCGCCGATGCATCGCCGACGTCACCGATGCGTCGCCGACGCATCGGCGAGGCATCTCCGATTTATCGCCGATGCGGCGCGATTCTTCGACCCCATCTACTCGGACCCACCGAGGAGGCCTCTAGGCTCACAGGCAACGTCAGGGGGCGATGATCAGAAGCCAGGCGAAGGCTGGCAAACCCGTGGTTGCTAAAACGGAGCTCCAGGAAGTTGTTTTTCCTTCTAGGAAGCAGCTCGTTTATTATTTTGCGCGCTGATTTTTTTCCGGGAACTTGTATTATTCTTCCGGGAAAACCGTTTTGGCAGCCACAGATTCGCCAGCCCTCGCCCAGCTTCGAGATGAGGGGGGCATCAAGGTTCGAAGTTTGAGTCCTCGAGGCTCACAGGGAACGTCAGGGGGCGATGAGGGGGACATCGAGGTTCGAAGTTCGAGGATTTCAGAAGTTTCTCGTATAGTCTCGGCGGTTCGCAGATTCCAGGAGTGGAAGATTCCAGAAGTTCGAGGTTGGAAGATTCCAAGTTGAAGATTCCAGAAGTCTCGGGGGGCATAAATCAGGAGGGGAAAAACACACAGACACAATTAATCGACGATCCCCCCAGAAAACATGGGAATCTATAGGCAGTGGAGGGGAAGACAGAAACCCCGAACATATGGGAAAATATGGGGAATCTTTGTATTTGTGTGTATTTATTTGCGTGTCCCAGGGCCCCTTCAATCAAGGCTCGAGTTTTGAGGATCTCCAGAGTTCTCTCGGCGGCTCTCCAGCTGCGGGGTGCTCTCCACCAGCCGCGCCTGGCCCGAGGTGTGGCCCGACGGCCACGGAGGGGGCGGAGTGGAGGGAGGATCGGCGTCACCCCCACACACACAGACACTGTGTCTAAGTCGGGCACGTCCCTCTACAGGAGGAGTATTCGAAGACAGTCGAACACAATAGTCTGGGGACGATCTTATGATTCTGTGCTTTTTGTCTATGTTGGAATAGCTGTTGACTCTTTCTTGTTCCCCTCCAGGCTCCGCCTGTAGGGGGACATGTCCGACCCAACACCACGTGTGCGTCGCCCCTCCCCCAGGGGCGACGAGCGCGCCGAGAACTCTTGCAGCGCGTGCGTCGTGGCGGGCGCTCTCTGGCCGCGCCGCTCGGGAAACGATGTGCTGCAAGATGGGCGTGCCCCCTCCTCCCCCTCCTCCTCCTCCTCCTCCTCCTCCTCCTCCCCCTCCTCCTCCTCCTCCTCCTCCTCCCCCTCCTCCTCCTCCTCCTCCTCCAGGGAGGACATCTGGCAGGCGTGTGTCTCCTGTGCGCCCCAGGGGGATGGGCCCAGGGGCGGATGCCGTCGACCCCCGCTCGCCCTTTGGATCGCCGCGGGGGGGGCCGGCGGCCCGCCCCGCCCGGGAGCGGGCGGAGCCGCCCTCGGGGGCCCCGCGCCGAGGCATCGGCGGAGCGGCGCGCAGCCCTCGGCCCACACGTCGAGGGGGGAGGAGGCGGGGGAGGAGGAGGAGGAGGAGGAGGAGGAGGAGGAGGAGGAGGAGGAGGAGGATTCGCGGGTCGAGAGCGCACCTCTTCCGGTCGGAGCCGAGCGGACCGCGCGAAGCTCGAATTAACCAGAGATGGGGGAGGCAAAGGGGGGCGCAGCCTCAGAGCGAGGCCGGGAGGAGTCCTGCGGCCCACACGTCGATCGTTGAGAGGCAGCGAGGGGCCGGACGGTCATTCACTGCCCCTGGGTGCGTGGATTGAAGTGAGAATCCGCAGTGAGGATTCTGCTTGTTGCTTTGTTGTTGGCGTTGTCGCTGTTGCTGTTGCTGTTGCTGCTTCTGCTGTTGTTGTTCCCTACCTAGGCTCTGCCTAGAAGGGTTCTTACTGTCTTAGCTTAAAGGGGACGTGCAGTGGAAAACGCCCCGGGCGGTTCCCCCAGGATCCGCCCCGCGGTTCCCCCAGTTGCGTCCCCTTAGCTTAGCGCTGCTTATCTCATCTTAGCTTAGCTGATTTCATCTTAGCTTAGCTTAGCTTCATCTTAGCTCATGCTTAGTTTAGCTTAGCTTACCTTCATCTTAGCTTCGCCGAGCTTTAGCATAGCATAGCACAGCATAGCATAGCAGAGCGTAGCATAACATCGCGCAGCACAGCATGTCATAGCATAGCCCAGCACAGCATAGCATAGCGCAGCATAGCATAGCATAGCATAACATAGCGCAGCACAGCACAGCACAGCACAGCACAGCATAGCACAGCATAGCATAGCATGGCATAGCATAGTATAGCATAGCACAGCAGCAACGCAAAAGCAAATCAACAGCAGCGACAGCAAAGCAAAGCACAAGCAACGCAAAGCAAAGCTCAGCAAAAGCAACAACGAAGCTAAGGACAGGCAAAGCAAACGCAAAGGAAAGGAACACCAAAAGCAACGCAAAAGAAAGGCAAAGCAACAGCAACAGCAAAAGGACCGCGTTTACCGCTCCTACTAATGTTGCTTTCCTAGAGGTTCCAACTCCTAGGTAGGGTCGCACTGGGATACTTGTTGTTGTTGTTGGTGGTGGTGGTGGTGGTGGTGTGATTGTTGTTGTCGTTGTTGTTGTTGTTGTTGGTTGTTGTTGGTTGTTGTCGTCGTTCCCCCCGCGACCCACCTTGCGACTCAACCCGCGACCCACCCGCGACCCACCCGCGACCCACCCCTCGACCCACCCGCGACCCACCCGCGACCCACCCCGCGACCCACCCGCGACTCACCCCGCGACTCATCCGCGACCCACCCGCGACCCACCCGCGACCCACTTGCGACCCACCCGCGACCCACCCTGTGACCCGACCGATCCACATTGGTTTGAAGAGAAAATCGGTGCCTGCGGCCGGCTCATTGTATCATTTGTGAAACTTTGGCGCTTGCGGCGGGCTTCTCCAGAGTCTCGCAGACTGCCGACGTCTCCACCGCCCCCTCACTCTTATCCGCATCTTCGGGGTGCTACGTAGGCATTTCTGGATTCCCAAATCCCAATCTACTTCAATCGCCTTCCTACTTCAATAATCGATATGCTTTTGCTATGTTTTGTGATTCTCATCGTCCGCACACTCCCTGCTCTGCTGCTACCACTTCCCCTGCTACCCGGCTAGGGAGGATGGAGGAGGGAGACAGCAAAAGGCAAGGGAGGAGGGAGGAGAGGAGGCAGGCAGAAGACGACGACGACGACGACGACGGCGACGGCGGCGGCGGCGCTTGCACCGACTCCCAAACAGCGTTTGCACTACGCCACGCAGACCCTGTCTGGGGTCCACACAATTCCCAAACAGCGCTTGCACTATGGCGGCCCCCTGTCAGGGGTCCACGCTGTCGCCCTGTTCTTTTTTCTCAGGGCTCTCGTTGGCAGTCACTTGTCGGGCCCCGACAGTCACGTTCGTGATCTGCCCAGGCGTAACTCTGGCCTGCGTCCCGCCTCCAGATGTCCGGCAGCACAGGGTCCACGACGACCCACTGCTGCTCGTAGAGGTCGGCCAAATCTCCGCGCGATGCTTTGTCGACGGGATTGTCTGCTGAGGCCACCCGTTCCCACCACGGGTAAATGCACCTGGAACGGCACTCCTCCCAGGTCGCGTGCACGATTTCGTTCGTGTGGACAGCTCTAGACGAACCCTTGATCAATGAGTACTTGGCGGATTCGTTGTCGATGAAATGAATCCATACACATCTGCGCAACAACGTCGGCCACGTTGCCAACGCCAGCAGAGGGCCCACCGCTTCGATCTCCTGAATGGCGTTCACACGATCGTGCCCTAGCCACCGCTCCATCCAGGGCTCTGGCACCGCAGTGGCGGTGAGCATTGGCCGGAAGTCTGGGTCACGCGGCTTCATATGTCCGCTGCCACTCGCCCCGTGCCTTCACCGTCGCTCACCGTGACAACGAGCGGCCACGATTGAAGATCGAAAGGGACTTCGCGGCCTGACTGCTCGTGCAGAGCGTGCCGGAACCAGCGCAGCGAGGCACTGAGGGACGCCGGCATGCCTATCCGCCCGCTGCCATCGAACTGCCGACGCCTCAGTGGCACCAGCGCTGCGGAGCCGTAGCGGCCGAAGAGAAACGAACGTGCCCATCCCCAGCGGCCTCTGAGGGAGCCCGCCTCTGCAGCAGGCAACCGGCAGCTCTGCAGGTAGTAGTCGATGTCCCCGATCAAAGCTGCTGCTTTCTGTTCCGGCAACCGAGCGACGGGCCGGGGGACGTCCACTGAGAGCTCCGCTCCGAGCAGCTTCCACACGCCAGCTGGCAGAGGCGACTTCTGAAGATCGAGCCTCCACCCAACCTGTCTGTGAAGCCATACCCAACAGAACCACGCGCAGGAAGCTGTGCAGGCGCGCTCCACGCACCAGGCGTCGTCGCTGTAGCGGTGCATTGGGATGGCAAAGAAATGCCTCGCTATGGCGCACATCGCCGCCGGGTCCCTGACGTAGTTGAACTGCGACCCAGCGCCTCCGAATACTTGTCCCAAGTTGCGCAGGAGGACTGGTTCGCGCCGCCCGGGGTGCCACGTCACCGACCACATCCACTGGACCTGCTCCGGGGCCAGCGGACTCTAGCGGAAAGCACCGCTGTAGTCGGCTGTAAACCCCGCGAGGGGGTCTCCAGCGCCCCAGAGTTCTTTCGAGAAGCGCACAGCGGCTCGCGCCGTGTCCAAATCGTCCGGCGTGTACGCTTCCGTCGTGTGAACGGTTGCATTCGCGCCACTGGTTTTGAGGTTTTCGATGTTGCGTGCCTTCCAGGAGCCGGTGGGCCCGCGCTCCCACACCGGGAAACTGGGGTGCACCGCCACATCAGCGAGGTCCACGTCCGAGACAGAGAATGGCCCCTCAACGGCGCCAGTGGCAATCTCTTTCTCGCGCTTTGACCACGCTGCTTGGTCCAAGGCGGCGTCGCCCGAGCCCTTGACGCCAGCGACGATGCGTCGGTTCCTCTCTGGCGCCTCCTTGATCCAGTCCTGCAGGTCGACTGACGCCACAGACTCAGCCGCTCTCCAGAGGCCAGCAGGCTGGATTGCGCCCAAGGCCGGCCGCCCCGAGCACAAGGAGTCGAAGTACGCCTTGTCCGGGTGCCCCGACGCGCTGACCAGTTTTTTCAAGAGGGGCCCGTGCAGGTGGCCGATTACCCGGCGCACGTCGGGATGCAAGGCGGCAGCCCACGCCTCCCTCTCGGGTTCCAATTCGTTTGCCCATTCAGAGATGAGCGCACAAGCTTGCAACCTGGTTCGTTTCACCACCTCCGGATCGGCAGCCTGCCTCCGGTACGCTTCCTCTACCGAAGCGTGCAAGGTGGGAGGGCCGCACATCGGGTGTTCCAGGGTTGTCACGTGTTCCAGGAACTTCCGAGGCCCAACGCCTTCCGGCACCAGAGGCGCCGCACCGGCGCTCCGCGGCTGCAAGCCGCTTGCAATTGCGGCCCGCGCGCGCCATTACCGGCGCGTCGCGAGCGCCACCGAAGCCCACCCCGCGGCTCAGCGGCGACTGCCCTCTCAGACGCTTTGCGCGCGGCGCAGAAACATCTTCACTCGAGCATCGCCTGCCCCTCTTTACCAAGGGCGAGCACCACCCCTTACCGGGGGATCACGGGCGGAACTCCTTGTCGCAGGCCGGGTGGTCACCCCCGCAGCCCTTGACATTGCAGGCGTGCTTGAACTTGCACCGCTTGCCGTAGTTGCACTTGCCGTTGTTGTAGAACTTGCAGAACTCCTTACCCGAGCTGTCGGCCGCGACGGTCTCGAGGGCCGCGCGGGCCTTCTTGGCGGGCGCAGGGGCCCCGTCCCCTTGGCTCCCCGCCGTGCCCCGGTCGGTGTGGAGCTCTGCGAAGAGGGAGACCCACTCGGTCCTGCACTCCCTCACGGCCTCCGTGAGCGTCTTGTTGTCATTGCGCACGACGTCCACCCATTTCGCGCGCATCTGCTGGTCTGCGCGCCGCACGGCCTCCACGCTGGGGAGACGCCCGTTCTTCTTCTCGTACATCTTGAGCACGACCCACTCGTGGTAGTCCAACAATACCGACCAGTCCGCCGCCGCCCACTCGGGCGCAGCAGCCCACGCCATCGTGTTCATGAGGACGCGGTGCTTGTAGGTGAACGTGTGGGCCGACATGTTGTTATCCTCGGGCTTGTACTGCGTGGCGTCGTTGTCAAGGGCGCGCACCTTCCGGAGGTCGTGCACCGTGGGGGCCCTGCGCTCGTGCTCGCGCACCAAGCGCCCCATCAACGCATCGTTTCCGAGGAGGTGGGCTGGCAAGCGGATGTGGTAGTACTCCACGAAAGTGTTGGTCTTCTTGGCTCGCACCTCTGGGTCCACTGGGTCGTCCCAGTCGCCGAATTTACCCTTCTTGATGAGTTCCAGCTCACCAATTACCAGGGCTTCGGCCTCCTGCCACGCAGCCTTTACCGGCTGGCATAGCGGCCTGTCAGAGGCATCTAACCCCGCAGGGGTACAAATGCCCTCGCCGACATCGGCCTTCGTGTCCGCAAGGCCTGCGAACTTGCAGATTGTTACCATCTGCTTAGTCTTGAGGTACGCAAACACTTTCTCGTCGACACCGTGCTTGCGAAGCAACTTGTCCAGACGAGGATCCAGCTCCAACGCCATACTTGGCTTACAGAAGCTTGTTCTTATCGCCCGGTAAGTCTGTAGTGCTTGGGCGGCGCCGCCCGCGCCTTTGAGCCACAAAGGCTCCGGATAGCTTGGTTGGCGCACAGTCCGCAACATACAACGTAATTTTGACACGATGAAAGAGCATGGGTCCATACGAACTGTCCCGGCCGCGTGGCCAGTAGTCGCTCCCGGACCCTTATCTGGCATATGTTATACACGTCTACAGACTGTTACGCTCTCACTTGCACAGAGCGCGAATAATGATATCGCATATACATATATATATACACAAGTAGGAGGGGGAGGGCATGAGGGGGTGGGAAGGCTCCTCAGCTCCTGGGACGGGGTCGAGAACTCAGACAGTGCGCCGGCACCGTCTTGCAAAGGATGGGGTCGAGAGCCGTTGCCGCCAGTACCTTCACTAAGTCCAGCACCGGAGCGAAGACAGAGATACGCGCCGGCACTACTTTGCGGCTTTCGAGTCGCCGGGGCACCACATCCGACGGCTGGGACACTGCCGGTCTCTCTTCTTTGATATCCTCCTCCACCTCTTCCTCCACAAGGGGTCGGGGTTGGAAGGGAGGGGGAATTTTGAGACGGCACTTGATTATACATATGAACTAACGACTAAGACGGCTATTCTACGCAAGACATGCTCACAAGGTTTACTCTTGCTGCTATTTGTTGCAAAGGGTGGGAGACGCTGTCGGGTGGGCCAACGCGCCCTTTTGCCTCTGAGCCGAAACCCTCCGGAAGGCGGAAGGCGGCCTCACTGAGAGTCTGGGGAAGCTCAACATATTGCGCTGTTCTTACGCGGCCCCTCCCCGACTCCTCATTCGGCGCCTCACTCAAATCCGCAACTGCAGGGCTTACGCCTTACGCAGCAATCGGAGGTACGATGAGAAATGTGGACGCCACCAGCCCTGCCTACCACAAGCCTCCATGCAATTCTCATCGTCCGCACACTCCCTGCTCTGCTGCTACCACTTCCCCTGCTACCTGGCTAGGGAGGATGGAGGAGGGAGACAGCAAAAGGCAAGGGAGGAGGGAGGAGAGGAGGCAGGCAGAAGACGACGACGACGACGACGACGACGACGGCGACGGCGGCGGCGGCGCTTGCACCGACTCCCAAACAGCGTTTGCACTACGCCACGCAGACCCTGTCTGGGGTCCACACAATTCCCAAACAGCGCTTGCACTATGGCGGCCCCCTGTCAGGGGTCCACGCTGTCGCCCTGTTCTTTTTTCTCAGGGCTCTCGTTGGCAGTCACTTGTCGGGCCCCGACAGTCACGTTCGTGATCTGCCCAGGCCTAACTCCCAACGCGCCCCCACTTTCAGGGCTGGGCATTCTCGGCTCCGCATTACCGCGTCGCACTGCCCCAACGCGTGCCCCTTACCGGGCGACGCTACGATTCGATGGCTGCGGAGCTGCTTGACCCGGAGGAATCTCGTGTATCCTGGACAAGCGATGCTCCTTCCTCCTCGCCGGAGGATTCCGGCCGAGACCAATGCGGGACGCCGCCAGAGTTTTTACCCCAGCAGCGCTCGCATCTGACGAACCGGTCTTCGTAATCCCCAGGCGCGCCTCTAATCGCCTCTACTGGCGCCCGCGACTGCGCCCACCAGAAAGAGCAGCGCGTGCGGCGCGGCTCTTGTTCGGACTGGCGGTGCAACATCATGCTGCTCCTATTGAGCACCATATTTTGATCAGGCACGGCGCGGCTCACTAGCGACGTCTGCCTTACCGCAGGCGCCGCAGCCGCCGCCGAGGGCGCGCGCGACTCAGGGACTTCAAAATCCCGCGCCGGCGTGAACCCATCTCGGACACGCCCCACTATGTCATACTTGAGGAGCAATTCAGTTACACAGCGCGCGCGATCGTAGCGCACGGGCATGCCCGAGCCCGGGCCTCACCTGCCCAATGTCCAGCGTTCTTCCATGGGGAAGCGAAGCTGGCCGGCAAGCGTCGGGAAGAAAAATCTGGGGCTGTGCAACGACCACTCGGCGGTGTTCGCCACGCCGCCAAATGCGCGAAGCACCCGCCTCATGACATTCAACGCGCCAGAATATTTCTCTGGGCGGACTGGGCTCAGAACGACGATCTTGCCAGACTCCACCGCCATCGCTGGGACGATAAAGTCCGCTTCAGCAAGATCCACGTAGCCGGCCACGGCGGCGTGGAACTGTCCACCCCACTCGCGCCTCTGCCAATCCCTCCGCGGGGCGGCCCACGGGATTCGGCCGATTTTTTTCTTTGACCTCCACGATTCTGCGTACAGTGCGTCCCGCGACAGATTGCAAGACGTGGATCTCTGTAGGTCAGCCCAACGAAGGCAGCCAAACGTCAGGGCCAGCACAAATCCAATAGCAATTACAATTGCTGCGTCGTGCGCTCCAGCTGCCACGAAGAAGCTGGTCAGAAGGCAATCAACGGTTGCCCTCGTTAGCGGGCTCGCCTGCTGCCGCTGCTCCTCTGTCTGCTTGCTTGACATGCATCTCTGGGCCTCGACCAGCGGGTCCTCCAACGGCCACGGGAACTGGAATACTTCCTTCGCCCACACCAGCGACGCAAAGGACGCCTTCGGCACTGACGGCCCTCTACCGCTGGCGTCGCGGAGAAATAGCGCGACATCTGTTGCATCTAACGACCACGGCTGGAGCCCGGCCGCTTCTGCCCATTTCTGCAGCCGCGCAAGGACTCGCAGATGGGATCGCACCGTCGCCGCCACCGAAGCCCTCCTGACCACTACAGGCCGCAAGAGAGCCCATTGATCCTCCCAGCTGAGGCCTTTGAGGGCCCATCCCCGGAGTCTCGGCGATGCGTCCCCGATGTGGCCGGCGAGATCGAGCACTAAACCGACCTGGCTGCACAGCGCAGCAGCTTCCCGGTCTTGGCAGTTTTGTTCCACCTTTTCGGATTTGTGCCTCTTCCTCCCCGGATAGAAGGCCACCGACGGTAACTTTCCAGAGCTGGTCGTGGGCACCGCTGGTGCTTCCTGGGGGTCGCAAAGGACTCGTTCTCCTCCAGCCAACTCCGCACGAGCATGCCCCCTGACGGCCGCCGAAGCATTCCGATCTACCCGTGCATAGAATTCCCTGGCCACTGACGGGCTACAACGGGCTTCACCGCCCAACTCTGCGACAGCGTCGTCGGGTGAATCGAACCAGCCATGCACTCTGAGAATCGAACACAAGTTCTTCGCCACCAAATATCGTTCTAGATCCCCCGTTTCTGGTACCCCTGTGGGCATACATGCTTGCAGTCTCGGCGACAAGACGTGCGCGAGCTCAGACATGGCTTGTCCTTCCGGCCTTACCGCCGAAAGTCCTTGAGCCAAACGCGCCCTTTTGCCTCTGAGCCGAAACCCTCCGGAAGGCGGAAGGCGGCCTCACTGAGAGTCTGGGGAAGCTCAACATATTGCGCTGTTCTTACGCGGCCCCTCCCCGACTCCTCATTCGGCGCCTCACTCAAATCCGCAACTGCAGGGCTTACGCCTCACGCAGCAATCGGAGGTACGATGATAAATGTGGACGCCACCGGCCCTGCCTACCACAAGCCTCCATGCAATTCTCTGGGAGGACCTGGACCCCATCTACTTTATCCACCTTCCTACTTTAGTTTTTTTGATATACCTCTTCCGACCGACGTGTCTGTTCTCAGACTTCCGACGTCCTGACAAGCATCCACTTGTAGGTTTGTCCGTCGTGCTCGCCCTCTCGCCGTGGCAGAAATCACGAAGCCGGGGGTTCGGGATCGTGCGTGGCCAGAGGTGCCCCTGGCCCAAGGTGTCCCCTGGATCTCCAAGGAGGTCCCCGCGTCCTCCAGTCTGGAGGCCGTCCAGGCCTCGCCAGGCCCTCGGGGCCTCGTGAGGGGGTGCTCTGGAGGCTCCGGGGGCACCCCTCAAGAGGCCAGCCAAGGGCTCTGGGCGCCGAAGGCTGGGGACACCTGCTATGCTTTGCAGCGCTCCCGAGCGTCAGGGCCCCTATTTCTCCTCCGCGCCCGCCCTCCGCCTCGTCGTGCCCCCCCCGTCGTGCGGCAGCCCGCCTTGCCGCGACCCCGCTTCGGCGGCCCAGGACGCGCTCCGCGCGATCGCGGGCGCCGCGACGGGCAGAGTGTCTCGGGCGTCGGGTTCGGGGGCGACAGCTGGATGGCGGGGTGAGGAGAGGTGCACTGTTGGTATCCTCGTATCCTCTTCACGGGCCCGAAAGGTCCCTTTAGAATATAACAAAGGCCCTGTTGTTATACCCTATAAGGAAGGCCCTGGGCCCGTTCTCGGATGTAAGGAGGCCCGTTTGGGCCCCTGGAGGGCCCAGGGCCCTCCCGGGGCCAAGACAGGGCACGAGCGGTGCACGTCCCCCCCCCCCCCTCCCCCCCCCCCCTTCCCCCCCCTATGTATCGCCCCCCCCCATCTATTCACGCCCATGGGGGCCAGATATTCCGCGCGGACCGAGAGATCGCTGGCTGGACGACCCCTGGGGGGGAGCGGCAACAGCCCCGCCGCCGACCTCCTCGGGAGGCGCTCCTGGCGCGCGCCGACGGGAGCGGCATTCGGCGCTCGCCTCGCCTCGTCGCGCCCGGCGTCCCGGCGTGCCGTGGTCTCTCGGCGCGGGGCCCCAGGAGGCCAAAGCCAGCCCCCAAGCCAGGGATTCGCCGAGCGCGCTCCACTGCTCGCAGAGTGCCTACTCGCAAAGGAGCGCACGCATCGGGAGATAGCACTGGCATGCGCACCAGATGGCACCGGCATGCGCAGGTAGTGGCGGGCGGGCGGGCGCGCTGATCCTCGCTCCTGCTGCTCCCAGGCCCACCCAGCCTCCGAAGTCTGCTTGTTGGATGGGCCATGTTGGCAGCCTGTTCCCCCCAGCTTCGGCCTCCAGGGATCTATAGGCCCCAATCGAGGCAGGTCTGTCTGAAGCAAAAGCGGGTCCCAAATGGGGGAGCATGCGCCATTGATGGCGCTGGTGCGAGCCACACGCGCAGGTAAGCGGCCCCACTGCTCCTCGCTCCTACTGCGGCCCCTTACCCCCGAAGGGCTGCTTGTTATGCATTCCTGGCAGTCGTTCTCCGACTTCAGGATCAGTCGGCATCGAGTCGGGAAATCGGATCGAATCAGATTTGGCGGTACGCACAAGGGGGTGGAGGGAGGGGGGAGGGCTTCTCAGAAGGAGGCTGCTGCTCAGAAGGCGCCAGCCCTCACTCTATAGATGAGGCCCGCGCCTTCTAAGAAGCAGGGTGCTTCTAAGAAGCCCTCCCCCCTCCCGCCACCCCCAAGGCCTTCCAGGGCCCTTTTCCCCCCCGTTCACCGCCCCCCCATATAAGCGACGTCCAGGGACTCGTACAGAACCGCCGCCTGGGAGGATCGATTTTCGGAGACCTCGACTCGCGGACATGGATCTGCTCGGGCCCCCGGGGGCTCAAACATATCCATGTCCACCGCCCGCTGGGGCCCCAGGACGTCGGGCCCACAGGCGGTGGACACGGTGAAGTCGGGCACGTCCCTCTACAGGAGAAATAATCAACAACTAATCTGGGGACGCTGTTTTCACTATTTTTGATTACCTGGGTTTTTTTTAAGACTATTTCTTATTTTCACCTCCAAAGTCTGCCTGTAGGGGGACATGCCCGACCTCAGGATACGGACACATCCCCGCCTCGCAATACCGGGCGTGCCCGGGGAGGTGCTCCACTCTTCTCGGCCTCTGGGGGCCCTTACCCGCCCTCGGGGCCGTGCAAAACCGACTCGGGGTAAAATAGAGCCGGCCCCGAGGAGTGGGTCGAGGCCTCTGGGTCGGCGTTGTGAGCCGTCGGGGAGTTTGGGACGGGCGTGGCCCGTGGGGTGGGCCAGGTGGAAAGAAGGGGGCTGGCCGCGTCACGACTCGCCCGGCGCCGCGGAGGAGTGCCCAGGTCGGGAGCCTTGAGACGGGGGTCAATGCAAACGGGGGTCAGCCAGAGCGCCAGATCCTGCAGGACCCTGCGAAGACCCCCTCTGGCTGACCCGGGTTAGCGAGCCGCTCGTGGCCGCGAGGCGGCCGCGCATACTGGCTGACCCGGGTTTGCGAAGATCTATATTGCAGGTTTTTTTTCCTGCGTTGCAGTTTTGGTTTCCTGCTGACCCGGGTCTGGATTGACCAAGGTCAGAAGATCCCCGACCAGGAGTGGCGGATTCTCACACGGCGCCGGTGAGAGTCGTGAGGTGACCGGGGGTGGCGAGGAAGGGGGGCGCCAGTCATGGGCTTCGTCGCGAATTTGTTTTGAGAATGGTTCAGGGGGTCTTGAGCCCAAGCATGCGGCGTCCTGACATTTTTGACAAGGGGTCCCCATAAGGCCCGACCCTTTGCCCGGGACTGGTTTGACGGTCCCGAGGCCCGGCGAGCGCCCCCCGAGGCCGAACATGAGCGAAAACCTCCCGTCTTGATTTGTGCACGTCGCGATCAAGTCTGGGTTCTGAAGATGCTTCAATGGGTATTGTGAGAGAACTGCATCCTACAGTCGAGGCCGATGCGTAGGTCGACTAGGCCGAGTCGAGGGTGCCTTGTGCCCTGCGTCCAGTCCCCATGTCCGCCGCACTCGTGGGGAAGTGCGGCCCTTGGAAGGGTCTCGTGTCCCTCCGCGGGTCCTCTCCAATCGAGCTCGATTGTACAGTGCCGTCTTTAATACATGCTCCGCGTGCGGATCATTCATAACAAAATGCAGGGATTTAGTACTAAAAGCAACGATGAGTTCATGCATACATTCATTCATAAATTAATCATGTATTAAACATCCTATATGTTTACAAATCCCATGTATTAACACCTGCCCTGTACGGTCGGCGCAGCACGTAACACATCGGCGTGCGGGCAGGTGGCCCACGGAACTGCCGTGTCCCCCGACGGCCCCGGGAGCCCGCAGGAGCTCTGAGGCAATGCAGGGCCCTCAAGGATCGAGGAGGAACGTGCCCCACTGCCTCGTGCAGCAAGGTATATCTGATCGTGCGCGTCTGCTGCACCCCCTGGGAGGTTCCTCGGGACCATCTCCTCAGCCTGAGCCGCTTGTTGAGGAGCCCCGGGCCCGCGGCGGGCCCAGGGCCCTGGAAACGGTGAGCAAGTGTCCAGGACCCGCTTCCTTCGTGCCCAGATCGGGCCGAGCGAAGGGGGGGGATAGGGCAAGGGGGGGGTACGAAATCTGCTGCATGCAGCTGGTTTCGGCCCCGCCGCCGGGCCCATTCCTCGATACCTGGGCGCCTCCCGGCGCTGGGAGGCGCTAGGGAAATCAGCTACGTGAGCTGATTCTCTACCCTTTGCTATCCCCCCCTTTCGTTCCCCCCGACCAGAGCCTCGGCCCTCCGACCTTGATCCTCTCCGCCTCCCCATTCTCTGGCTGGGGCCTCGAGGCGGATCCGGCCACGGAAGCGAGGGCTCCCCGTGAGGCCGAACGAAGTAGCGAGGTGCCCAGAACCTTCGGTCCTCAATCTTCGATCCTTCTCTTGCTCCTCCCAGCTCGCCATTCCTGCTCCTCCCCCTCCTCCTCCTCCTCCTCCTCCTCCTCCTCCTCCTCCTCCTCAACGATTTTGCCGACAGAGCTGCGAAGCAAGGAGCTGCGGCGTACCCGTCCGCCAGCGATTCTGTGCTTTCTGATCCTTCTTGTACCGTGGCCCGGTGCAAGTACGCCATCAGGCTGGCGGCAGAGTTGCTCCCGAGGTGGCCCAGGACGGATTTGTCTGGTGTCTCCTGGTCTAACCCGTGCGCGCCTGTTGTTCGAGAGCCCCCCCAGGCCCCACTCATGGATCTGGCTCGGCCCTCCTTGTGGTTCTCAGCGTTTTTGGCACTGTCAGTCTTGACTCCGCACGTCCCGGAGCCCAGGTGATGTCTGCCCTCTCCCAGGCCAGTGTAGCGAGATTCTCAGAGTCAAGATGCAGGCCCTGCGGAATCTAAACCACAAGGGTATCAGATCTGACTGCTCGAGCGACTCAATGATAGTTGTTTGCACGGAGTGCAAGAGATGCACGTCTGGGGCTCGTCTAGCCAAGCTTGGAGAGCTTTGTCCAAGCCGGCGTCGTGACAAGTAGATTCCAGACTGTTGGAATAAGATCTGCAAAGGGCTCCATCAAAAAGAGAAGGGGTTCACCTTGCTATCAGATACCTTCAGCGTGCTCTAGACTCGGGCCGGACGAAAGGGGGGGATTGGGAAAGGGGGGGTTACGAAATTTGCTGCGTGCAGCTGGTTTCGGCCTCACCGAGGGGCCCATTCCTCGATACACAGTCGCCTCCTGCGCCGGGAGGCGCCGGGAAAATCAGCTACGTGAGCTGATTCTCAAACCCCCCTTTTGCTATCCCCCCCTTTCGCCCGACCCGATAGACGCGAAGCGGGACAGTGGTGCTCAAAACAAAATCCTCCTCCTCCTCCTCCTCCCTCCTCCTCCTCCTCCTCCTCCTCCTCCTCCTCCTCCTCCTCCTCCTCCCTCCTCCTCCTCCTCCTCCTCCTCTCCTCCCTCCCTCCTCCTCCCCCTTCAGCTCCTCCCCCTCCTCCTCCCCCTCCTCCTCCTCCTCAACGATTTTGCCGACAGAGCGACGCGCAGCGGGACAGTGGCGCTCAAAACAAAATCCCCTTCCTCCCCCCCTCCTGGCCGGGGCCGCGCGCAGGCGAGCTGATCTCCGAAGTGGAGGTCCTCGGCTCGGTACCCCCCGCGCGATCTGGGCGGGGGGCGACGGGGGAAAGAATCGGCCACGCGCAGAGGGGAAAATCGATCCTCCAGGTATGTACGAGTCCCTGGACGTCGCTTATATGAGGGGGCGATGAGCGGGGGCGAAAACGGCCCTGGAAGGCCTTGGGGGTGGCGGGAGGGGGAAGGGCTTCTTAGAAGCACCCCTGCTTCTCAGAAGCCGCGGGCCTCATCCATAGATGTGAGGCCGGCGCCTTCTGAGAAGCAGCCTCCTTCTAAGAAGCCCTCCCCCTCCCTCCACCTTCTCGTGCGCGCCGCCCAGAAATATGATCGGAGACCAAATTCGGCTGCGAGCCCAGGGGGGAAGTGAGTAGATCAGGCGATCGCAAACATGGATCAAGGGGGCGTGGATTAGCAACGGGTCCCGTTTCCGTGGGAAATCAATCCCGGATTTCCGCCGCCGAGCGAGGCGGCTTTGGCCGCATTTTGTGGAGGGTACCTCCCCCGGTCCATTCATTTGGCGACCGCGCGCCAAATCCATGGATCGCTAATCCATGTTTGCGCGCCTCCGAGAAGAGGCGGGCATTCTCAGAAGGCTCGGAAGTCCCCTGGCCTTCTGAGAAGTTTTCTAAGCCTTCCCCGAAAAGAAAGAGCATTTCTCAAAAGACCTCAGGGCTTCCGAGCAGCCCCCCGCTTTCTGAGAAGGCCTTCTCCTTCTCATTTCCCCCCCTCGCTTGCCGCCGAAAAGTCTCGCCAGAGGCCGATCACAATCAAGCCGGACGATCAACATTGGAGCCGTTAGGGGTCCGAGGTGGCCCAGCACCAGTTCCAGCCAGCAGGAAGGGCGGGCAGGTTCGAGGTGTTTGGCTCGGGAAGTTGTTGTGCATTTGTTGGACTCCAGTGGCCGTTTTCCGGCCCTGGGGGAGTGAGAAATAGATCTGGGGCGAGAAGCTGCATTAGATGGACCCACGATGATCAGTAGGTCGAGCCCGCCAAATCAAGGGTACCCTTTTATGTCCCGTGTTTTGCGACCCCTGCCTTTGCACTCCTGTGGCAATGTGGCCCTCGGAGGGGTCTCGTGTCCTCTCGCGTGTCCTCTCCAATGCAAGAGGGTGCGGGAGCAAGAGGGTGTGCAGGAGGAGGAGGAGGAGGAGGAGGAGGAGGAGGAGGAGGAGGAGGGGGGCGTGGGCCTTCACAGAAGGGCCGGGTTCCGCCCTGCCCAGATAGGATCTCGCCCGCCCTCTTCGAAGGTCGCCCTTCTCGCTCCAACCCCTTGCACGCCGTCCATGTTTATCATTCGTATAAGAGCCCTCGAGTAACAACAAACGAGAGGAATACAAGCGTTCGAAGGCCCCCACGGATGTCTCGGGTCGGCGTTGTGACCCCCCGGCGGCGCCTCAGGTCCGGCGCCGACCCCAGAAGTCTGCGCGGACCTCCGAAAAGGTACGTTTATACAGCCTCTTCCTCCTCTGAGCCTGTCTCGGGCCTGGGCCGGGGACCCTTAGGAGTGGTGGGCGTGGATATCTGCCCGTTCCCTGCGGGCGGGAAGACATCCATGTCCGCCGCTGCCCAGAGACCCGGGCCAGGGCTCTGGAGGGTGGAAGATGTTGGCCCAGGCAGCCAGCGATGTGATTTGTTCCATTTCGCAGGCCCGAGTTCGCGCTCGGGCCCCAGGGTTTGGCCCAGTCGGCTCACATGGCTTTTAGCGCGTTTGAAGCTCCTTACTTCAATCGTGTTCTAAGCTGGTCCCAGGGCCCAGTTACCCTCGTCGGGGCCGTCTTGAAGGCCCCGGGGGCCAGCTCAATTGGTCAAACTCGTCGAAACCAAGTTTGGATGTTCCGTTCGATTTTGATACTATGCCCGAAGCAGAGCTTGAACTTAGGGGTTCTGCTCTCGGCTATCTGCTGTATGCAATTGGATGGTTCTGCCGAAGTTTCGTGGGCGAAAGGGGTCCTCCCCGGGACTCCGTAACCATCAACACCGACTGGCCGGAAAGCTGGTCCTGGGAAAAGCCTTCGGGTTCAGGATCCGCTTACCCTGGTCACCTCAGGACCCGTCAGGGCTGCTCACGACCCGTCAGGGTTGCTCACGGTCAGATCCTAATCCGGTCCGCTCCCCGAACTTCGGTTCCGGTCTCGAGTTTGCTCTCGATCCGATCCGACGCGGATCGAATCCCTCTCATGCCTGCCTGTTGCCTTAATCTCAGGTCTCAGCCCTCAGCCCGATCGCGGCCACCGCCGCCGCTGGCGTCGGCATTTGCGTCGTCGTCGTCGTCGTCGTCGTCGTCGTCGTCGTCGTCGTCGTCGACTTCGTCGTCGTCGTCGTCGTCGTCGTCGTCGTCGTCGTCGTCGTCGACGTCGTCGTCGTCGTCGTCGTCGTCGTCGTCGTCGACTTCGTCGTCGTCGTCGTCGTCGGTCGTCGTCGTCGTGGTCGTCGTCGTCGTTGTCGTCGTCGTCTTAGTCGCCTTAGTCGCCGTCGTCGAGCTCGGCCTCGTCGTCGCCCGCGGACGCCCGAGGTGCTCGACCCGGGGTCCGGCCGCTGGGAGGTCTGCGCCGTCATGCCCACTGCGAGGGCGGCTGGCGAAGCGCCAAACCTGGGTCTTCGATTTCGCATTGTTTCCAATGGTACCCCCCTCCTCCTCCGAGTCCTCTCGACGGCTTCTTGGGGCGCTGTGGGGACCAAACTGGGTCGCGGACAAGGCACCTCTTTGGAAGGCTTCTTGGGGACTCGGGAGGCCTCTCGGGAGCCTCTCGGCAGCATTTTTCCCCGATCAGTGCTTGCACTGAAGGGGTCCTCGCGGATGTGGAAAGCTTTGGCGAAAGTGCCCCGCCGATTTTGGTCGCACACTGGGTTCCCAGGTTTCCGGGTTCCCGGGTTCCAGGTTCCCCGGTTCCCGGGCCGATTTTGGTGGGCGGCGAGGTTCCAAGGTTCCCAGGTTCTCGGTCGATCTTCTTATCGATCGGTCTCAGCATCGAACTCATTTACCACCTCTCCATCGATCTCACCATCGCTCTCACAATCGATCTCACAAGCGATCTCGCAAGCGATCTCATTAGAGATCGCACGAGCGATCTCGCGATCGATCTCTCCCTCCCTATCGATCTCATTGAATCGATTTCACTCTCGGTCTCACGATCGACCTTACAATCGTCCTCTATCGATTCCACTATCGCTTCCAATTTCTCGAATCAGTGTTTGCACTGAAGGGGTCCTAGCGGAGGTTGCAGGATTTGGCGAAAGTGCCCCGCCGATTTTGGTCGCACGCTGGGTTCCCAGGTTCCCGGTTCTGGGTTCCCGGGTTCCCAGTTCCCCGGTTCCCGGGCCGATTTCGGTGGGCGGCGAGGTTCCCAGGTTCCAAGGTTCTTGGTCGATCTTCTTATCGATCGGTCTCAGCATCGATCTCATTTCCCACCTCTCCATCGATCTCACCGTCGCTCTCACAATCGATCTCACAATCGATCTCGCAAGCGATCTCACTAGAGATCGCACGATCGATCTCGCGATCCATCTCCCTATCGATCTCATTGAATCGATTTCACTCTCGGTCTCACGGTCGACCTTACAATCGTCCTCTATCGAGTCCACTATGGATATCATTCTCGATCTCACAATCGATCTCAAGATCCATATGATCAATTGTCAAATCATCCATTGACTGGGTTTTCTCAGGTGTAGTTGAGTTTTACTTCGTGCATGCCAGTCGGCTTCTACATCTGAAGCCTCGCACGAAACGAGGCGGCTGGTCTCTCACTTTGTGTGGTTTGCCTCTGGAGGCCCGTTTTCGGGCTTCGGGACTGTCAGAACAGGATTCGGGGGGAAAATTTGGCCCTCCGACTGTATGATTTTTGGTTCCCAGCGCCAGATCCAGACCTCCTCACTCCGGTAGTTTTCGGCCCAGGGACCTTACTGGGCTCCTGGACCGTCAAGAAGTAACTCAGGATTAAAATCCGGCCCTGGGGTTCGGAAAGTCACCACTTACCACCAAACCACCCCAACCCAACTCGAAGGCCCCAATCTGCCCTTCATTCCCAGTGGGGGGGGGGTCGGGGAACACTGAGAAAACATATGCAATTCGCCCCCCCGCCTACCCGAAATTCGGGTCTTCGGGTTCGGTTGGGGTGGTCTGGTAGGTAGTCAGAAAGGGTCGGGATTTCTGTGGACCCCTTCTGGACAGATCAAGACTTCGGATATCTTTGGGAGCAACAACAACTACAACAACAACAACCGCAACAACCACAACAACTAAACAACAGCAACAACAACAATCAGTTTAAGACTGTTCGCTCTTCCTGGCACGCGTGTTTTGCACTCCGTATACCCCAACCCTGGATACCCGCCAACTTCGCCTTCGATTGCACCCCCTTTCGGGTGGAATTTCTTCCTTGTCGGCCACTGACTGAAGTGCGAAGAATTCTCGAGCCAGAGCGCCGTTCCTGAGTTTGGGGGCCTCTCTGTTCAGGGGCTGTCGGAATGACTATGGAGAAATATCGAGCGGGAGCCCTTGTCGCCATGTCCGGGCCTCCACCAACTTGCCTGAATTACGGGAAAGTCTCGAGCGAGAGCGCCGTTCCTGAGTTCGGGGGCCGTCTTGGCCAGGGGCTCTCGGAGTAAATCGTGAGGAAGTACCGAGCCAGCGTCGTGGCTGAGCCTCCGCCAACTTAAGTAAATTGCGAGGAAGTCTTAAGAGGAGCGCCGTTCCTGAGTTCGGGGGCCTCTCTGGCCGGGGTGTCTCGGGGTACATTGTGAGGAAGTATCAAGGAGGAGCCGTTGTTGTCGTACCTGGGCCTCCAAGAGCCCACATTTAGGCTCGAGCCAACGCTCGAGCGCGAGCTTCGTTTTCAGAGAAAATGTAGCTGGCGTCGAGGCGAAGGCGCGCGGAACCGTTTCCGGAGATCAATAATAATAATTCTTCAGGAGTGAATCTTCATCAGCAACAATAACAACACCAACAGCAGCCTCAACAAGACCAACAACAATAACACCACACACCATTCATTAGTTTAAGACTGTTTGCTCTCATGTGCTTCTGTGCCAATCAGCATGTCGATCCCGAGCCCTCGATGCCCGCCCTTTTCGTCTTCGATCGCCCTCCCATTCGAGGTATATCTTCCTTATCTGCCACGTGCAGGTGGCGCAGCCCCTAACACAGGAAGAGGGAGACAGGACAAATTATATAGCGAGGGGGAGGAGTTCGGGAAGGGAGGGAGGAGGGAAGCGGCAAGGGGGAGGGAGAAGGACGACGCACGAGAGAGAAATGAGCAGGAGAGAGGCTAGGAGCAGGAAAACAATCGCTAGAATCAGATGAGGCGGGTCGGGTGGGCGGACCCAGGCGGGCGGGTCGGGCGGGTCGCTGAAGCGTACGTTCTGCATAAATCGCAAGGGCGTCTCCAGCGATAGCGCGATTCCCAAGTGAATCGTGAAGAAGTCCGCCGCGAGAGCGCGATTCCTGAGCGTCGAGGGCGCGGCACCTTACAACATTTGCACGGCAGTCCCGGGCGAGAGCGCGATGCTTCAGCACATTGTGAGGAGCAAGTTGAAGACCCAAGGCTTCCCCTTATAACAAGAGCACGTGCTTTTTAACATATGAGCTACTGGAGGGGCACTATAACTAAAAAAACTGCGCACCAGAGGGAGGGAATCAATAACCAATATTCTTTCGAAGTGATATCTCGACAACACTCCACTGCGCGGAATCCTACAGCCACGCATCCAGGGATTGCGTAAGACCGTTCGGACCCCTCACTCTGACCCTTCGGGCTCTGGAGCTTCAAGGGCTCGTCACGACACGAACTCGCCGAAGTGTTGGATGAGAAGTGAGAGTTGATCGGTGGTCGTGTTCACGCGGCGGCGCCTGGGATGATGACTAGAAAAATTGGCCCTGGGTCAGGGAACTACTTTTTAATCGTTTAATCTTTCCTCCCCGCCCTCCTCGGGCGCCCGCCTGGACAGTCGACGGGCCAGTCGGAGCCGAAGCGAAGAGGAAGCCGAAGCTTCTGAAAAGATTCTGAAATGATTCTCCCCCCACAGTCATTTATTTATCGCCGTCTTGCATTAGCACCCTCCGCGGTGTTCCAAGTGAGCGACGGAAGAAAACGGGGTCGTTTGCGCCGACATCCGCGGTCAAGGTCGCGCCACTGGCGTGCCGCGCTGGCGGCGCGCGCCAGCCGCCGCACAAGGTAACTGTGTCATATCGCGTGCAGTCAGCCCGCATAGTAAGGATGAGCGACTTTCTCAGGTTGCCCTTGCATCCTTCCCGTTCTGCCCATCTTCGGCCGCGTTCGCTGGCCGCGCCCCGCTCGCAAAGTGCGAACATGGCCTCACAAGGCCTTTGCACCCTTGTCGCGCGTCCTTCTTAGGTGGTTTGGCTGTTAAGACCCCTTTCGTTTCGCCACTCCAGTACCAAGTCATCGCACCTTCCCCCTCCTCTCTCGTCCTCCTCCTCCTGATCCTCCTCCTTCTGATCCTCCTCCTCCTCCTCCCCCTCCTCCTCCTCCTATCTTTCTCCTCTTCCTCCTCCTCCTCCTTCTCCTTCTCCTCCTCCTCCTCCTCCTCCTCCTCCTCCTCCTCCTCCTCCTCTTCCTCCTCCTCTTCTCTCTTTCTCATACTCCATCCTCCCTCCTCCTCCTCCTCCTCCTCCTCCTCCTCCTCTTCCTATCCCTTCCCCTCCTCCTCCTCCTCTCTCCTCCCTCCTCCTCCTCCTCCTCCTCCTCCTCCTCCTCCTCCTCCTCCTCCTCCTCCTCCTCCTCCTCCTCCTCCTCCTCCTCCTCCTCCTCCTCTCTCCTCTTCTCCTCCTCTCTCTCCCCTCCTCCTCCTCCTCCTCCTCCTCCTCCTCCTCCTCCTCCTCCTCCTCCTCCTCCTCCTCCCCTCCTCCCCTCCTCCTCCCCCTCCCCCTCCCCCTCCTCCTCCTCCTCATCCTCCTCCTCCTCCTCCTCCTCACTTCCCTCCTCCTGTAACACCGTAACACTCGATTCAGGTGGTCGTGCAAGCACAGCAGACACCTACCTGATAGAAACATGCCCCTTCTCAGGTCTTATCCTTCTTTACTGCGCCGTACCTCGACTGGAACTCACTGAATCACTGCTCCCTTTGACTCCTGAATAGGATGGTGTTGCCTTTTACATTCTGCTGATGGCCGCTTTCATCATCAGAAGTCTTGCCCTTGGCATGGTCGGCCATGTCCTTGCCTGTGGGAGGCACTTCCTTGCCGAAGCCTCTACCTTTGCGCTGGACTGCACCCTTGCTAAAGCCCGAACCGGTTGATAACAGATCTTGATCAGCGCCTGGGTCAAACAAGAGAGGAGCAGGGGTGGAAGCGCCAAGTACGTCCGGAGGTGAATCCTTGGAGTCGTCGACTCGCACCGGCACAGGAGGTCGAAGAACGAGTTCGGCAGCAGCAAGTGGACCGGCGCGTAGGTGAGCTGCTGGTGTCAGCAGCAGGCGAAGCTCAGCCACCTGTTTCTTCAGGCTCTGAATCTCAGAGCGAAGCTGACCAACTTCATCAACAGCAGTGTGTTGAGCGACGTTGGACTGCCAGAGCTTGATCAACCCGTCGACGTGGTGCGCCGTGCTGCGCATCCGCCGGGCGCGCCGCCTGCGGGCCGCTCCACGCCGACGTTGACCCCAATGGCAACCTGCCTCCTCCTCCTCCTCCTCCTCCTCCTCCTCCTCCTCCTCCTCCTGCTCCTCCTCCTCCTCCCCTCCTCCTTCTCCTCCTGCTCCTCCTTCCCCTTCTCCTCCTTCTCCCCCTCCTCCTCCCCCTCCTCCTCCTCCTCCTCCCTGCCCTCCTCCTCTTCCTCCCCCCCCTCCTGCGTGGCGAGCCCCGTGCCCTCTGCCCCGCAGGCTCGCCAGGGGCGGCGCCAGGGTGCGACTCCTCGGGGGGCCTGCCGAGGCCAACCGGGACTACCTCGGGGGGGGGGCTGTCTGCGCGCAGCCCGAAACCTGACCACACCCGCACCCCACAGCCTTCACCGACCCTCTCCTCGGACGCGTGGCGGCGGTGGGCAAGCTCGAGCTGGGAGGTGGCCTGTCGAAGCCGCGGGTGCGTGCGGCGCGCCAGCTCCACGGATCTTGGATCCAGGCTCTCTTCGAGGCGGTCGGCAGTCGCCGTTGGACGGCGGCACCCAGGCCCCTGGGGGACCGGCTGGCTGCCTTACCAAAAAGCGCCTACACCATGTCCTTGAGATCCGACGCTGCAAAGCACACATGCCAAGTCGCGAGCAAATCGCAACTGGAGCCCTGGATTCTGTCGTCTTTCTTCTGCATTTTCCAGCGGCGTCCCGCGAGCGCTCCTCGCTCCCCAGGCGGCCTCCTTGGGCGGTTTGAGTGTAAGACCCCCTTCGTTGTGCCGCTCCAGTGCCAAGTCCTCGCGCCTTCCCCTCTACTCCTCCTCCTCCTCCTCACCCCTCCTCCTTGTCCTCCTCCTCCTCCTCCTCCTTCCTCCTCCTCCTCCTCCTTGCCCTCCTCCTCCTTGCCCTTCTCCTTGCCCTCCTCCTCCTCCTCCTCCTCCTCGGCCCCCTCCCTGTGCGAGCGCACGTCGCTCCCCAGGCGGGCTGCGCGGCCGCCGTCGTGGCGCTGGGCTGACCGCCCCGCCGGGCCAGCCGCCGCGGCGCGCCGCGCGCGGGCGGCGCGCAGTCCGGCGAGCGAGCGGGGCCGCGCCGCGCCACGCGGCCTCGGCAGACGCCCTGGCCCGCCGACGCGCGCTGACGGCGATGTGGGCAGCGGCGACTTCGGTCTCGGTGCTGTGGGCGGGGCTGTGTCGTGGCCGTGTCGGTGTCGGGCTGTGGGCGTGGCCGTGCTGTGGGCGGGGCTGTGTCGGGGCTGTGTCGTGGTAAGGGGGGAGAAACCACCCGGGCCCGATAATTGTCATGGCGCCAACATCGCAGAGCGGATGTCGTTCGGAAGACAACAGGATGGACCAGGAGTGTCCTGGAGAATGTCGTTCTGGATTTCGAAGTGAATTTCGTGCGGATTGTTTGTTGGCCAGGAGTGAAGACTAAAACAAATCCACGTGAAGTTCACTTCGTTTTTCGCTTGCCGCTTCGGGCAAACATCCACTCAGAAATCCACGCAGAAATCTGCTGCAGCACGTCTGCAAGGCCGGTGCAATGACATTTGGCGTTTGCCAAGCAGCCCTGGGCGTTTACTAAACAGCCCTGCCCTGGCCGATTCCTTCCTGGGGCGCGTTTGCTACACGACTTCGCCGGATATCGGTTTCGGTATTGTGGGCGTGATTGGTCTAGGCCTCCCGGATGGGGTCGGAGTAGCTGGGGTCGGAGGATCGCGCCGCGTCGCCGATGCATTGGCGGTGCGGCTCGATGCGGAGCCCGATTTTCTCCACGACGATGTGGCCGATGTGCCGCCGACGTGGCCGTTGCATCGGCGATGCCTCGGCCATGCATCGCGATCCTTCGACCCCACCTACTCCGACCTCTTCCAGGAGGCCTCGAATTGTGTCGTGACCGAGCCGATTGCAGGACAGCGTGCCTCGTGCTCTCCTACAGTTCGCCGTGCCGCCGTGCCGTGTTCGTTCGATGCGCCCGCGTGGTTTTGAAGTCACCGTAGGAGAGCGTGGCTCGTGACTTCCTGTGAGCTCGGCGGGCCGGAACTGCGCCGTTCGACGCCCGCGTGCTTGAAGTGACTGTAGGAGAGAGTGTTCTGTTCTGCGCGAGTCCGGCGTCGCCAAGACCAGATTCCCAGCACCACCGTTTACGGACATCGCCATTCGCGCGGCCTTGGCCAGCAGCGGCCCGTGGTCTCGGGACCTGGGGTCGGCAGAGGATGGCTTCGGATAGATCGGGAGCCTTTCGGACGGGGCTGGGACGAGGACGGATCCGTTCCAGGGCGTTCCAGGGCGCTCTC